CTACCTACCTACCTACCTACCTACCTACCTACCTTCTTACCTACCTACCTACCTACCCACCTATCTGTTTAAAAGAAGAGACATGAACTAACATATACAGGAAAGAAGGTAAGGGAAACTAGCATTGGATGTGTGCTTTTGGGGTGTCAGAGTTCTGTGTTGTGCAGCCTGAGGGATGGATGACACCTGGGTTTTTGTGTGTGGGGCGTCTGACTTTGAATATTGCTTTACTGCTTACCAGTTATGTGGATTTGAGTAAGTTTTTTTTTTTTTAACTTCTCTGACCCTCAATTTTGTCTGTAAGGTATGGCTAATTTTTTCTGTGCAAGGTTGTTGTAGGGAAAGTGTCTGAATCATAGCAAGTAGGCATTCAATAAATTTTAGTTTTCTTCTTTTAACTCATAGTGGAATAAATAACACAAATGTTGAGTGTTTTGTAGTAAGTCAAGTAATAGCAGTAGACTAGAACTCAGGTTTTTTTTCATTTCCAGCCCTAGCGAAATCTTGAAGTAATGACTTTAAGCTGGCAGTAATTTGTCTACACTGGTATCTGAGTTCTTGAGTTCCATAGATCCTGTTTTTATCCTTTGTTTTTTTCAGCCCAAGCAGATAATCTCATTTGCATATTTCAGTCTAGCTCTATTTCCTCTTTTCTAACTGCTGTACTATGGGAAATTGCTTCTTCTACCCCTCATGTCTGTGTTGTAATGAAAGACTGATAACCAGTTAACCCTTAAAGCCTTAATTCTAAATGAAGGTAGTAAAGCCTGCAATACAGCTAAGCAATTTGGAACCAGAAAGTGACTCTCCACTTCATTTTCTTCCTAATTGCTATACTTTATGGCAGACAGGAGGACACAAGATTTTTGTCAATGTACTTCATGAGGAAATGAGAAAATCAGCAATAGAAGAGACACTTTAAGGGCGCCTGGGTGGCTCAGTTGGTTGAGCGACTGCCTTTGGCTCAGGTCATGATCCTGGAGTCCAGGATCGAGTCCTGCATCGGGCTCCCTGCTCAGCGAGGAGCCTGCTTCTCCCTCTAACCCTCCCCCTTCTCATGTACTCTCTCTCTCTCTCTCTCATTCTCGCTCTCTCAAATAAATAAATAAGTCTTTTTTTAAAAAAAAGAAGAGACACTTTAAGATATCTAAATAATCTTTTGAAAATGGACACATTTCCCTTTCAAATTCCATACTTCCTTGTGCTAGATGGCTTTATAATACAAAGAGAATACTTGTAAACTTCTATTGGTAACTCTATGTGCTTATAAGCAGAGCTTCACTCACTTTCATTTACCATGCTCCCCAAAGCTAAGGTAAGATGTTGCTTAAAATGAGTTTCAGAGTTTAGATTAGTGGCCTTTTAATAATGACAAATTGTTTATTATCAGGGAGGGAGCTGCCCTCTGCTTGCTGGCTTGATTTATTTCCAGTTGAATCCAGAGTTGCCTCATTTTTCATCCTTTCTCTGGCTCATTGACAATGAAGCTTATATTCTCACCTTTGATTGCATTAGAGTGCTCAACACAGGTTGCACTAGCTTATGATATTATATTAGAAGATCCTTTCTGATTATCAAAACTCCTATAACACAGGCACCAGGACTTATATTCCAACAAAGCAACCAGTGCACAAACTGACCTCCAATTTCCCATATCCAAAGGTTTCTTTACCTAGAAAGTTTGGAGGAAGAACAATTTTGTCTTTGTTTCTCCTAATTTGGCCACTCAGAATTCCTCCTTGGTGCCATGTTCTCCTCCCTAACAGTACAGCCATGCTGTGAAGAATGCGTTGACATCACTTGGTGTTCTTTGGCACAGAGATGCTTTATCTATAGGATGCTGGCACGCAGATGGTGGAAGAGGGGAAATCTCAAACTATATATAACCTATGATGCTTTTCTTTTCTTTTTCAAGATTGCTTTGGCTATTCAGGGTCTTTTGTGGTTCTATACAAATTTTAAGATTGTTCATTCTAGCTCTGTGAAAAATGTTGTTAGTAATACACACACACACACACACACTCACACACACACACATATATATATATACCACAACTTATTTATCCATTCCTGAGTTGATGCACATTTGGCTCCTTCCATAATTTGGCTCTTGTTGATCATGTTGCTATAAACATTCGGGGGCGTGTTCCCCTTCAAATCAGTAATTTTGTATCCTTTCAGTAAATACCTGGTAGTGCAATTGCTGGGTCATAGGGTAGTTCTATTTTTAACTTTTTGAGGAACCTCCATACTGTTTTGCAGAGTGGCTGCTCCAGTTTTCATTCCCACCAATAGTATAAGAGGGTCCCCCTTTCTCTGCATCATCACCAACATCTTTCTTTCTTGCGTTGTTATTTTTAGCCATTCTGACAGGTGGGAGGTAGTATCTCATCATGGTTTTCATTTGTATTTCCCTAATGATGAATGATGTTGACTATTTTTTCAGGTATCTGTTGGCCATCTGTATGTATTCTTTGGAAAAATGTCTATGTCTTTCGCCCATTTCTTCACTGGATTTCTTATTTTTTGGGTATTGAGTTTGAGAAGTTCTTTCTAGATTTTGGATACTAGCCCTTTATCTGATATATCATTTGCATGTATCTTCTCCCATTCCATGGGTTGCCTTTTAGTTTTGTTGATTGTTTCCTTCACTGTGCAGAAGCTTTGTATCTTGATGAAGCCCCAATAGTTCATTTTTGCTTTTGTTTCCCTTGCCTCAGGAGACCTGTCTAGTAAGAAGCTGCTGTGCTGATGTCAAAGAGGTTGCTGCCTGTCTTCTCCTCTAGGATTTTTTTAGAATTTTATTTTATTATGTTAAGTCCCCGTACAACACATCTAGGTATTAAGGAGGGCACGTACTGCATGGAGCACTGGGTGTTATATGAAAACAATGAATCGTGGATCACTCCTCTAGGATTTTGATGGTTTCCTGTCTCACAGTGGGGTCTTTCATCCATTTTGAATTTATTTTTGTGTATGGTGTAAGAAAGTGGTCCAGTTTCATTCTTCTGCATGTGGCTGTCCAATTTTCCCAACACCATCTGTTGAAGAGACTGTTTTTTTTCCATTGGATATTCTTTCTTGCTTTGTCAGAGATTAGTTGATCATATAGTTGTGGGTCTGTTTCTGGGTTTTTGTATTCTGTTCCATTGATCAATGTGTCTGTTTTTGTGCCAGTACCATACTGTCCTGGTGATGACAGCTCTGTGGTAGAACTTGAAGTCTGGAACTGTGAAGCCTCTAGCTTTGCTTTTCTTTTTCAAGATTGCTTTGGCTATTCAGGGTCTTTTGTGGTTCCACACAAATTTTAGGATTGTTCATTCTAGCTCTGTGAAAAATGTTGGTGGGTATTTTGATAGGGATTGCATTAAATGTGTAGATTGCTTTGGGTAGTACAGAAATTTTAACAATATTTGTCTTCCAATCCACGAGCATGGAATTTTTTCCATTTTCTTGTGTCATCTTTAGTTTCTTTCAGAAGTGTTCTATAGTTTTCAGAGTACAGATCATTTACCTCTTTGGTTAGGTTTATTCCTAGGTATCCTTTGGGTTTTGGTGCAATCATAAAGGGGATAGATTCCTTGGTTTCTCTTTCTGCTGCTTCACTATTGGTGTATGGAAATGCAACAGATTTCTGTACGTTGATTTTGTATCCTGCGACTTTACTGAATTTGTGTATCAGTTTTACCATTTTTTTTGGTGGAGTCTTTTGGGTTTTCTACATAGAGTATCATGTCATTTGCAAATAGTAAAAGTTTGACTTCTTCCTTGCAGATTTGGATATCTTTTATTTCTTTGTGTTTGATTGCTGAGGCTAGGACTTCCAGTACTATGCTAAATAACACTGGTGAGAGTGGACATCCCTGTCCTGTTCCTGACTGCAAAAACTGTTTTTCCCTATTGAGGATGACATTAGCTGTGGATCTTTTGTATATGGCCTTTATGATGTTGAGTTGTGTTCCACCTATCCCTACATGGTGGAGGGTTTTTATCAAGAGTGGATGCAGTATTTTGTCAAATGCTTTATCTACATCTATTGAGAAGATCATATGACTTTATCCTTTCTTTTATTAATGTGGTGTATCACATTGATTGATTTGCAGATGTTGAGCCACAGCTGCAGCCCAGGAATAAATCCTACTTTGTTAATGTATTGCTGGATCCTGTTAGCTAGTATCTTGGTGAGAATTTTTTTTAAATTTAATTTTATTATGTTATGTTAGTCACCATACAATACATCATTAGTTTTTGATGTGGTGATCCACAATTCATTGTTTTTGTATAACATCCAGTGCTCCATGTAGTATGTGCCCTCCTTAATACCCATCACCGGGCTAACCCATCCCCCCAATGCCCTCCCCTCTAAAACCCTCAGTTTGTTTCTCAGAGTCCATAGTCTGTCATGCTTCATCTCTCCCTCCGATTCCTCCCCCCCCGCCTCATTTTTCCCTTGACACTACAGATAAAGGGCTGGTATGCAGGATCTATAAAGAACTTCTCAAACTCAACACCCAAAAAACAAATAATCAAGTCAAAAAATGGGCAGAAGATATGAAAAGACACTTCTCTGAAGACATACAAATGGCTAACAGACACATGAGAAGTTCCTTATAGACCTTGGATACCAGCCCTTTATCTGTAGTGTCAATTGCAAATATCTTCTCCCATTCTGTGGGTTGCCTCTGTTTGTTGACTGTTTCCTTTGCTGTGCAGAAGCTTTTTATCTTGATGAAGTCCCAAAAGTTCATTTTTGCTTTTGTTTTACTAGCCCTTGGAGATGTATCTTGAAAGAAGTTGCTGTGGCCGATGTCAAAGAGGTTATTGCCTATGTTGGCCTCTTCTAAGTTGACATATTCATTCTTTAGTAGGATGCTCTTTAACCTCTTTGTATTTTTGTTCCTTCCAAATTTTTTCTTGTGGTTGACTTCAAGTGTTAAAGCATTGTGGTCTGAAAATATGCGTGGTATAATCTCAATCTTTTTGTACTGGTTTAGACCTTATTTGTGACCCAGTATGTAATCTACTATGGACAATGTTCCATGTGGACTTGAGAAGAGTGTGTCTTCTGCTGCTTTAGGATGAAATGCTCTGAATATATGTTAAGTCCATCTGGTTCAGTATGTCATTCAAAGCCCTTGCTTCCTTGTTGATCTTCTGCTTAGATGATTTGTCCATTGCTGTGAGTTGGGAGTTAAAGTCCCCTACTATTATTATATTATTTTCAATGAGTTTCTTAGTTTTGTTATTAATTGGCTTATATATTTGCTCACATGTTATGGGGCATAAATATTTACAGTTTAGGTTTTCTTCTTGGATAGACACTTTTATTATGATGTAGTGGCCTTCTTCATCTCTTATTACAGTCTTTGGTTTAAAATCTAGTTTGTCTGATATAAGGATGGCTACTCCAGCTTTCTCTTGATGTCCATTTGCATGATAAATGTTTCTTCACGCTCACACTTTCAGTCTGGAGGCTGCTTTTTGTGTAAAATAAGTGTCTTGTAGACAGCATATTGTTGGGGGTTATTTTTTATCCAGTCTGATACCCTCTGTCTTTTGACTGGAGCACTTAGTCCATTTACATTCAGAGTGATTATTGAAAGATACGAATTTAGTCCATTGTTTTACCTTAAATTTGCTGTTTTTGTAGATGTTGTAGGTTGTCCCTGCACTTCGTTACTTTTGTGCTCCCTCTTCACTCAAAGGAGTCCCTTTACTATTTCTTGCAGGCCTAGTTTAGTTTTCACAAATTCCTTTAGTTTGTCCTGGAGACTCTATCTCTCCTATTCTGAATGACGGCTTTGCTGGATAATATATTCTTGGCTGCACAATTTCCCCACTTAGCACGTACCAGTCCTTTCTGGCCTGCCAGATTTCTGTGGACACGTCTGCTGACAGCCTTATGTTTCTACCCTTGTAGGTTAAAGACTCTTCTCCCGAGCTGCTCTCAGGATTTTCTCATTATCTTTGTAATTTGCAAGCTTCACTATAGTAAGTTGAGGCGCTGACCTATTTCTGTTGATTTTGAGGGGGGTTATCTGTGCCTTTTGGATTTGAATGCCTGTTTCCTCCCCCAGAATAGGGAACTTCTCAGATATAATTTGTTCAAATAAACCCTCTGCCCCTCTCTCTCACTCTTCATCTTCTGGGACCCCTATTACCCAGATATCATTTTGCTTTATGGGATCACTGATTTTTCAGTTTCCCTTCATGATCCAGTAGTTGCCTTTCTTCTTTTCAGATTACTTCCCCCCCCATCATTTTATCTTCTACTGCATCTCAGTAATAGCATTTTTAAT